CATTGATTTTTTTGTTTTATTCCTCTAAATTTTATTTATTTCTTCTCTTATCTTTATTATGTCCCTGCTTCTGTTGACTATAGGCCTAATTTGTTCTTCTAATTTCAATAATTGTAACTTTAGACTATTCATTTGGGATTGTTCTTCCTTCTTTAAATATGCCTGGATTGCTATGTACTTTTCTCTTAAGACTGCTTTCACTGCATCTCACAGAAGTTGGGACTTGGTGTTTTTGTTGTCATTTGTCTATATATATTGCTTCATCTCTATTTTAATTTAGTCATGGATCCATTGATTATTTAGGAGCATGTTGTTAAGCCTCCATGTGTTGTGAGCCTTTTTGCTTTCTTTTTTGTTTTCTAATTCGTTTCTGGTTTGATCCATCTGTAGTCCAAGCAGTTGGTTGGTAGAATTTAAGCCTTTTTGAATTTACTGAGGCTCTTTTTGTAGCCTACTGTGTGGTCTATTCTGTAAAATGTTCCATGTGCACTTGAGAAGAATGTGTATCCTGCTGATTTTTTGTGTAGAGTTCTGTAGATGTCCATTAGGTCCATCTGTTCTAGTGTGTTGTTCACTGCCTCTGTGTCCTTCCTTATTTTCTGTCTGTGTGTATGTGGATATGTCCTTTGGAGTAAGTGTGTGTTGAAGTCTCCTAAAATGACTGATTACTTTCTATTTCCTCCTTTTATTCTTTTTAGTATTTGTTTCACATATGTTCGTGCTCCTGTATTGGGTGCATATATATTTATAAATGTTATATCCTCTTGTTGGACTGACCCTTTTATCATTATGTAATGTACTACTTTATCTTTTTTACTTTCTTTGTTTTAAGTATATCATGCCATTCTCTTCTGGCCTGTAGGGTTTCTGTCGAGAAGTCTGATGATAGCCTGATGGATTTTCCTTTGTAGATAACCTTTTTTTTCTCTCTGGCTGCCTTTAATACTTTGTCCTTGTCTTTGATCTTTGCCATTTTAATTATTATGTGTCTTGGTGTGGCCCTCCTTGGATCCCTTGTCATGGGAGTTCTGTGTACCTCTGTGGTCTGAGTGGCCATTTCCTCCCCTATTTTGGGGAAGTTTTCAGCAATTATTTCATCAAAGACACTTTCTATCCCTTTTTCTCTCTCTTCTTCTTCTGGTAACCCTAAATGCGGATATTGTTCCGTTTCAATTGGTCAGTCAGCTCTCTTAGAATTCTTTCATTCCTGGAGATCCTTTTATCTCTCTCTGCATCAGCTTCTCTGCATTCCTGTTCTCTGTTTTCTAGTCCATTAATGGTCTCTTGCATCTCGTCCATTCTGTTTTGTAGTCCTTCCAGAGCTTGTTTTTTTTTCTGTATTCTCCTTCCTTAGTTCTTGCATATTTCTCTGCAAGTCCATCAGCATGGTTATAACTTTTGTTTTGAATTCTTTTTCAGGAAGAGTGGTTAAATCTATCTCCCCAGGTTCCTTCTCAGGGGAAGATGTAGCAGATGCCGAAGCTGTCTGAGTTAGTCTTGTCTGCATCATATTTTTTGCCTTTTCATGTTGATAGGTGCTATTGACAGCTGTGAGGGCCAGACTTCCCACTTGCTACTGGCCTTTCTTTTCTGGGACAGCTGCGACCCCTGGTGGCTTGTGTCGGGCAATTGCATGTAGACTGGGTCTTTGTGCCTTGCGGGGCCGGTATGGAGGAACCTCCCTTGGTCAGGGTGTGGCCAGTCTTAGGCTGCTTTTCTGCTTTCACCGAGTCCCGGATGGGTAATGGACGGGGGGCTGTTTGGCTGTTTACCTCTGTGAGGGGTCTCAGAGCTGTTGCCCAGGGGGTTAGTGCGCCCAGTTTTCCCTGTAATTTTCAGCTGCTGGACTGTGGCCTGTGTTGTTTCTGTCCAGCTGTTGCATCCCTGTCCCTTTAAGACTTTCTAAAAGCACTCACTTTTCTTTGTCACAGGGGCATCAGCTTCGCGACCTGCTCAAAGGTCTTGCTGCCCTGTTTCCCTAGTTTCCAGCCCTCCATGCATGCACTGTGTCTGCACTCTGCTGCGGATGGCTGGGGCAGGGTGTTCAGCAGTCCTGGGCTCCCTCTCTCTCCCCGCCCCCACTCCTCTCCTCCCACCAGTAGCTGGAATGAGGGGTGCTAGGTCCCGCTGGGCCAGGGCTTGTATCTTACCCCTTTCACCAGGTGCTGGGTTCTCACAGGTGTGGATGTGGTCTGGCTGTTGTCCTATGTCTTCTGGTCTCTCTTTTAGGATTAGTTGTATTTGTTGTATTTTCAAAAATATATATGTTTTTGGGAGGAGATTCCCACTGTCCTACTCATGCCGCCATTTTGGCTCTACCCCCACTTTCTTTGTTTTGTAGACTGGTTTGTATGATTTTAGTTCTGCCAGACCTGCTGTTTTCTCCCTGTTGTTTTCATGAAATATCTTTTTCTATAATTTTACTTTTAGTCTGTGTATGTCTTTGGGTTTGTGGTATGTCTCTTGAAAGCAGTACATAGATGTGTCTTGCTACTGTATCCATTCTATTATTCTGTGTCTTTTGATTGGTGCGTTCAGTCCATTTACATTTAGGGTGATTATTGAAAGATATGTACTTATTGCTATTGCAGGCTTTTGATTGGTGGTTATGAAAAGTAGAAGGGTGGCTTCTTTACTATCTATCCATCTAACTTAACCTTCTTATTAAGCTATTATAAACACAGTCTGATGAGTCTTTATTTCTCTCACTAATTATTCCTTGTCCTCCATTCTTTATATATTAGGTGTTTTATTCTGTAGCCTTTAGTGTTTTCTTTGACTGCGTTTGTGCATAGTTGATTTTATTTTTTGCCGTTAGTATTCAGTTGGTCTTTCTTTGCTGTAATTTTATTCTCTCTGATGACATTTATTTCACCTTAGGAGTGCGTCCATCTAGCGCCAACCCAGTAAAATACCCCATAGAAGTGGTTTGGGGGAGGCAAGTTCCCTCAAGTTTTGTTTTTCTGGGAATTGCTTAATTTCCCAGAAAATTTCTTCAGATTTAAATGATAATCATATTGGATGCAATATTCCTTTTTCAAGGCCCCACTGTTTCACAGCATTATCTATATCATGCCATTCTCTTTTGGCCTTTAAGATTTCTGTTGAGAAGTCTGATGATAGCTTGAAGGGTTTTACTTTGTAAGTGACCTTTATTCTCTCGTTGCTGCCTTTAATACTGTCCTTGTTTTTTATCTTTGCCATTTTAATTATTATATGTTTAAGTGTTGTCTTCATTGGGTCCCATTTGCTGGGTGTTCTGTGGGCCTCTGTGGGCCTCCATAATCTCAGATACTCTTTCCTCCCCCAGTTTGGGGAACTTTTCAGCAATGATTTCTTCACACTTTTTCTCTCTTTTTCTTCTTGTACTCCTATAATGTGAATATTGTTCTGTTTGGATTGGTCACACAATTCTCTTAATATTCTTTCATTCCTAGAAATCCTTTTTTCTCTCTCTGCCTCAGCTTTCCTGTATTCTTGTTCCCTGATTTCTATTCCATTAAGTACCTCTTGCCCCTCATCCATTCTGCTCTTAAGTCCTTCCATAGATTGTTTTATTTCTGTATACTCCCTCCCTACTTGCTCCTTTAACTCTTCCATATTTCTATGCAGTTCCATTAGCACGGTTATGACCTTTATTTTGAATCATTTTTCAGTAAGATTGGTTCAGTCTATCTCCCCAGGCCCTCTTTTGGGCATTCTCTTGATAATTCTGAATTGTACCAAATTCTTCTACCTTTTCATGTCGATGAAGGTAGCTGTAGGTAGTTAGCATGTATGTCAGCTGGGAGAACAAAGTCCTTTCCTGCTTGCTGGTCACCTTGCCCTTCTCTGCTGCCTGTGTCAGTTACCTGCACTCCTCGAGCAGCCTCCAGATTAGTCCCCTAAACTCCCCTTGTTGGATTTTCCATCAGGATAGCCTTGAGCCCTACAGTTAGTGGCAGGCACAGCAGCTGTGTTCTCTTTTGGGTCCTTGCCCCTTGCCCTGGGTTCTGCCTGCACTTCACAGCTCCCCGCTGGCGGCAACGTTTATGTCTTGCCCTGGCTGCTGTCAGCTCGGAGGAGATTCTGGGCTGCTGCTGGGGGCATGGCCACTCCCAGGCTGTTCTGCTGCTGTTGTACACTCGTGCAGCCGCTCCAGGCTGCTCCATTGTCGCCTTGCGAATGTGTGTCCCTTCCCCACAGCAGATACTGCCACTGCTCTCCAGCTGCTGGGCAGTTGCATCAGTGGCTGTGCCAGCCACAGGAATGCCTGGCAGGCTGCTTATTGCTATGAGGAGCTTCAGAGCTGTGCTTCCGCCCAAGGGGTTAGAACATCTGGAATTTCTCTGGATTCCCAGCTGCTGGGCTGAGTGTTCTTCATCGTTTCCATCCAGCTGTGAGGCCCCTGCTTCTTTAAGATTTTCAAAAATACTCGGTTTTCTGTTTTCCCATGCGAGCCAGTTGTGGGGCCCTGCTCGTAAATTTTCCTTTTCCATTTCTCTAATCTCTAGCACACCATGAAGTGTGTGTCTGTGCTCCCAGTGTGGATTACTAGGGCTGGTTTTTTTAGCAATCCTGGGTTTTCACTCCCTCCCCACTCCAACTCCTTTCATCCTGCTGGAGAGCTGGGTTTGGGGGAATACTTGTGTCCGCGGCTTGTTTCTTACACTCTTCGTGAGATGCTGAGTTATCGCAGATGTAGATGTAGCCTGGTTGTTGTACTGTATCCTCTGGTCTCTCTTTTAGGAATAGTTGTATTTGTTGTATTTTCAAAAACATATATGGTGTGGGAGGAGATTTCTGCCATACTACTCATGCTGCCCTCTCGGCTCTTTTTCTCATGTTCTTTTTTTAATGTGGTTATTGAGGATATATTTTTGTAAATAATGCATGAAGAAACTTAATTTTCAAATTGTAGCCAACAAGAATCATGTAAACATAAGTATTTTATTCACTTGTCTAAGGAAAATCTTAGCCTATAATAGATACTAAGTATCAATTTTTTGCTTCATATGTAGGAAGAAAATGAGAAAAGAACACAACATAAGGAATGTTCAGACAATGTATCCACGTCTTCAAATTCGTAAGAAACTTTTAAGATTTTTACTAAGAATTTCTTTCCAAAAGACAGGGATTTGAATTTTTTTTTTTTTTTTTTAAGTTCTGAAAGGAGAAGGAGAGGACCTTTTAAAACTATAAAATTTGGGACCAACATTGACCTTTCTGATGAGAAAAAGTAAGTTATCCTGTTCTATGTCCATGAAATGCAAATAGGATTGCAGCGTTGGAAATCACGTTTTTTTAATTTGTCATCTGTAGTCATCATCCTTTTTTATGTTGCCATAGAAGGCTCAGCTAAAAACACTAGCATTATGAAATTATTTTACTGAATTTTGCATTAAGATTTTTGTTACTGATGAAAATCATTAATTTTACAAGTTTTTAAATAAAAAACACTTCTTTTCATTTGCCATGGCTATCTTAAATGTTTCTGATTTCTTATTTTCAGTGAACTATTTTCAGACTTTTTTCCTTTGGAAAAAGTGAAGCACTCAAGTGTTTTAACCTTAGAAGTATAATAATTGGAAATTCAAATTTTTTTTTTCATTGAATCACCAGGTTTCAAGAACATGATTAATTCTCTTAAATATTTGCAGCAATGTTACAGTTTTGATATGTTATTTTATTTCAGGTGGAAATTGCAGCTACGTGAGCTGACTAAGCTGCCTGCTTTCGTGCGTGTCATATCAGCAGGAAATCTTCTAAGCCACCTTGGTCATACCATTTTGGGCATGAATACAGTTCAGCTCTACATGAAAGTTCCAGGGAGTCGAACACCAGGTTATTTTTATGAATAAGTCTTGTGTTACTGGAAAAAAGTTAATCAAATGTGAAACATGCACATACAACCAGTTTCTTCCCAATTATAATTAAGCCCAAAGGATTTTAAAATCCTTTCACACACACAAAAATATTTGTAATTTTTATTGTAACTGAGCTTAGAATAGCTTCTTCAGTGCCTCTTTTATTGTTTTTATATTAATCAGAAAAATTTAACATGGAAACAAAACGTCACTCTGTGAGTGAAGAAGGAAAGTAAAGGTTTTGTGTTAATCACATTGACTGCATGCTGTTTTCCAAAATTTTTTCACCACATTTCAGTAAAAACTCTGTATCATGTTAACTGATATGCTTACTATTATAAAATAAAATTTCATTGCAATACTTAAAAAATATATGTGGTGCTGATATTTTCTAGTCTATCCCATTATGTTACATTTTTGAAAATACAATTCAGAAACTTTTTATGCAAAAGTCAGCAAACATTTCCTTAAAGGGATATTATTAGGTAGTGCTTTAAGCTTTTGAAGCCAAGAGGTTAAATTCAGAATATTGTCTAGGTACCTATATAAAAGTAGGGAAAAAATACTACTATGAATTCAATTGATCAAAATCAGCATATGCAGTAATTGGTTTTTTTCCTCCTGACAGGGAAATATACTTTCACTTTGCAGGTCTCTACATCAATGTTCCCTGGAATGAAAATCAGCTATATGTGTGTATCTGTGAAAAATATTCTTAATGAGATTTTTATATGTTTAATCATTAGAAGTATCTTTTCTCACAAATAGATACTGCCAAGTACTGCTATCAAACTATGAACATACTTTATTGAACATATTTTAATTGGTAGGAAGACAGTACCATCTATTAATTCTTATACTTGATCTTTTAATTTTTTTTGTTATTTTCCTTCAACATTTCATTGCATTTCTTTTAATCCTTTCTGATTGGAAGTCAGTCAGTTTGAAGCTCACTTGCACAGATAGCTTTTGCTCTATGAAAATATTCTGTGCACCTGCAGTGAGATTTGAAAGATGATGTGCAGCTCTTTGACCTTGAAGAGTATGCATATTGCAAATGTTTGAGGGAGTGGATATCTAGCTTGTTTCATTTTTAACAGCACAGAAACTGTTTAATGCAGCTTAATAGCACATGTAAATAAAAAAATAGTCTTTAAAATGACTTTTGTATCAGTTACTTTGTACTTTTAGTTTGAAATTTTAAAGAATCATTGTGAAACTGAAAAAACATGTCAGTGTTCAGTAAGTGGCTGATGGTTCTGAGTCAGACAAATTTCAGTTTCAGTGCTGAGTGACCCAAAGATTGCAATACAACTTAACCATTTTAGTCCATAGCACAAGTCTGGACTGTTAGCTTCTATGTATGACAAAAATTCATAGAACTTAGATGTTCGTTATGTCCTCAAGGAGTGAACACAAAGTATTTTTCAAAGAAGATCTGGCAGTGAAAAATTAAATGCATAACCAAAGGCACTGTCATCTTACACTTTTATAGATAGACTTTGTTAATTTTTCCAAATGAGCCTTTTGCTCCCTTCACACATATTTTCCTTATGATCAGTTTTGATACATTTTAGCAGATTCCAGTTCAGTAATTTTAATGTTTCTTCTGTCATTTCACATTTGGAATTTGTTCTTCAAACAAAAACTTGCCAGTTGAGTAATATTAGTAACAACTGTTGGCCATTATTTAAGGGACAAGAAACAACTCCTTGAAATTACTTACCTTTGTTATTTAATTGACTCTACTGATAGTGCTTCCAGTCTCTGGAAATATTTTACTTCCTCTAGAAGTAATTTTTCACCTGTTGCAATCAAACATCATTTAATTAACTCAATGTCTATAAACTGCTTTTCTTGCTTGGTCAGAACTTACTTTGGTTTCAGCTTTAATTTTCCTTTCCTTCTTTTTAAGTTTTTGTGACATTGTGGTATGATGAGATGCTGTGCTTTAAATTTATTAATTTTTCTTTTTCCTATAACATAGATATAGTTATCAGCACTTTGGTAGTGTCAATGTACATTTTAGAATAGGAAGGACATTGTTCCATAATAAGTACAATATTTTCCTATCAGTGGAGAATACCATTTCACATTTCCACATGCTGTTTTTCTTGTTTTGAGATAATGGGTATGCTGGTAATTAAAAAAATAAAATGAGAAGTGTTCAAGTATGTGATACTTATGGCAGTTGAAATGCTGCTTAGTTATGACTTAATTGTAGTTTGGTAGGCACCAGTGGAAAAGTGATGAGTGCATAAGGTCTCTTTCCAGCTGCTTAATCCTTACGTTGTATCCTGAAAACACAGTTAGATCATAAACCAGTCGTGTATCTGTATCTCATGCAAATCCTATGTATAAGAACATGAATCTGTCTGATGGGCCATAGTTGTCATCAAAATCTTAGTTTCAAAATCTTACTTTCATCCATCACAATCTTCAAACATAATATCCATCACAAACTTAATATCATCTTTTTATTCCTCTTTTATTGACATATAGAGTAAGTAAGAGCAGCTATGGTTAAAAAACCAGAGAGCTTGCATTCTCACTGTATATTGCTTAACTAGTTTTTAAAAATAGGCTGTTGTGTGGGAGGAGCCAATATGGCGGCAGGAGTAGACCAGTGGAAATCTCCTCCCAAAACCATATATATATTTTTTGAAAATACAGTAAATAAAACTATCCCTAAAAGAGAGACCAGAAGATACCAGACAACACCCAAGCTACATCTACACCTGTGAGAACCCAGCACATCGCAAAGGGGGTAAGATACAACCCCAGCTCCTGCAGGAGGAGAGGAGTAGGAGCAGGGAGGGAGAGGTTGCCCAGATCTGCTAAACACCCAGCCCTAGTCATCTGCATTGGAGCACAGACACACAGTGTGTGAGGTGCTGGATACTAGGGAAACAGGAGCGTGAGAACTGTGAGCAGGGCCCAGCAGCTGGTGCCCCAGGACAAAGAAATGTGAATGCTCTTTGAGAGTCTTAAAGGGACAGGGGCCTCACAGCTGAACAGAAACGTGCCAGGACACTCAGGCCAGCTGCTGGGAATCCTGGGAAACTCTAGGCGCTATAATTCCCTGGGTGGCAAGGCAGCTCTGAGGCATCTCACAGTGATAAAACAGCCTCCTGATCATTCCCCCGCTGATGCAGATCCACTATAGCAGAGCAACAGCCTGAGAACGGCCACACCCACAGCAACCGCAGAGATTAAGTCCACAGTGGTACAGCAAGAATCAGGGACCCCATCAGCATGCAGCTGCCCAGCACAAGCCCCTGAGGGTTGCAGTTCTCCCAGGAGAGGAGAGTTGCCACAAACTAGCAAGAAGAGATGTTCTCCCAGCCAAAACACATGCCAGATCTGCAAAACTACATCTTTTGCCATGAAAAGGAAGAAGAATTTGATCCAGACCAAAATCACAGAGATAACACCTGAGAAGGAGCTTGGAGAGATAGACATAACCAATCTTCTGGAAAAAGAATTCAAAGTAAATGTCACAACCATGCTAATGGAGCTGCACAGGAAAATGCTAGAGCTAATGGACAAAATAGGGAGGGAAAATACAGAAATAAAACAATCTCTGGAAGGATTGAAAAGCAGAATGGATGAGATTCAAGAGGCCATTGATGGATTAGAAACCAGAGAACATTAATGCATAGAAGCTGATGCACAGAAGTATGTGGCCATTCAAAAGGAACAATATCTGCATTATAGGAGTACCAGAAAAGAAGAGATAGAAAAAGGTATAGAGTGTATATTTGAAGAAATAATTGCCAAAAACTTCCCAAAAGTGTGGGAGGAAATAGTCGCTCAGACAACAGAAGTACACAGAAATCCCAACAGAAGGGACCCAAGGTGGACAACACCAAGACACATAATAAAATAGCAAAGATCAAAGATAAGGACAGAGTATTAAAGGCAGCCAGAAAGAGAAAAAAAGGTCACCTACAAAGGAAAACCAATCAGGCTATCATCAGACTTCTCAACAGAAAACTTAGAGGCCAGAAGAGAATGGCATGATATATTTAATGCAATGAAACAGAAGGGCCTTGCACCAAGAATACTATATCCAGCATGAGTATCATTTAAGTAAGAAGGAGGGATTAAACAGTTCCCAGACAGGCAAAAGTTGAGGGACTTTGCCTCCCACAAACCACCTCTACAGGGTATTTTAGAGGGACTCTTGTAGATTGAGGCTCTCCTAAGGCTAAATAGATGTCACCAGAGAAAATAAAATCACAGCAAAGAAAGCAGACCAACCAAATACTAACTAAAGGCAAAAAATAAAATCAACTACCCACAAAAGCAGTTAAAGGAAACACAAAAGAGCACAGAATAAAACCCCCAACATATAAAGATTGGAGGAGGAGGAATAAGAAGTAAGGGAAATAATCACCAAACAGTGTCTATAATAGCTCAATAAGCAAGTGAAGTTAGGCAGTAAGATACTAAAGAAACTAGCCTAGAACCTTTTGTGACCACACAAACATAAAGCCTGTAATAGCAATAAGTACATATCTTTCAATCATTACCCTAAATGTAAATGGACTGAAGGCATCAATCAAAAGACACTGAGTAATATAATGGATAAAAATGCAAGACCCATCTGTATGTTGCTTACAAGAGACCTCAAACCCAAAGACATACACAGACTAAAAGTCAAGGAAAGGAAAAAGATATTCCATGCAAACAACGGAGAAAAAAGCAGGTGTTGCAGTACAAACAGACTTCAAAACAAAGACGGTAACAACATAAACAAGGACATTACATAATGATAAAGGGCTCAGTCCAACAAGAGGATATAACCATTATAAAAATATATGCACCCAACACAGGAGCACCAGCATATGTGAAACTAATACAGAACTAAGGGACGAAATAGAATGTAATGCATTCATTTTAGGAGACTTCACCACCCCACTCAATTCAAAGGATAGATCCAGGATACAGAAAGTAAATAAGGACACAGAGGCA